TACAATAGTGTACTTTTGGAAAACTCTCCCCTTTAACCACGTGATACTTTTGTTAAAATGATCACCTGATATTTAAAGAAATTACTTGGAATAGTTTCGTCGATATCATTCACTCGACTGGTAAGTACAGTACACTTATAAAAACAAATTCGTATGCCACTAATACCACTAACAATGTCCACATAAACAATACCTCGACCTTATCTTTCTCTATTGTGTACAATGATGTACTTTTCCCTACCCCTTTAAACTGTACACGTAATTAATGGGTGATCCTCAATGATAATAGAAACTTACTCAAACTATTAAGTGACGTGATTTATAGGAGAATAGAGGATACAAAACCAAAATTTCAAACAATAAATGATAAATACATATATATATAAACCAAAAATTAATAATTAGTAAATCTGCTAGAACAATAAAGGATTGAATAAAGTTTATAGACGTTTAAATGTAGAAGAGTGTTAATTGTTAAATGTATAGTGTTTCTGACACTAGAACTGTTCGAAATAAATGATTACGTTTACAGAATGACCTAGAAAATCCTACAATTAACATTTAATTTATATATGTACAAATTAAATGCTAAAATTTCAAACTGTCCGTTTATATTATTTAATATTCGATTTTCTGTGAGGTAGCTCAATTATCCTCATATTAATTTAACATATAATAAGTTAAAAATTATCACGTACAATAGTTTTTATAGGTTTTTACCATAAATAAATAATATTTATAATAAATAATAGATTTTTATACAAGTTATAAAGCTCAGTTTACGTATGAATAAAAGAATTCCATCGTAAACTAAGTATGAAGACAGGAAAAAAATAATAATAATAACTGTAAATTTTATAGCATTGTAAATGTTAGGTAAACCGTAAAATTTATTTAAAAACCGAAAAATTTACACAAAAAATCCTTATTAATTCTAAACTATCGAAAGAATTAATGCATTTAAATCAGTAACATAAATCTAGTTTTATCGTCGCTCTTAGTGTTTAATACTCCATTGTAATGCAAATTATTATTATTATTATTTTTTATTATTATTATTCTATTCACAGAAGTTTATTCTTACTGTATGGCATCGAAGTGTTGCTCGTTACAATCATTGATCATACCAGCACATTCATTGATACTCACACACACAGCCACTCGTTTAATCACACAAGCGTAAGGGTATCGACGTAGAATATAGATTTAGTAGGGATATAATACATCAAAAAAATAAAAACCCGGATAAATAAATATAGATATAAAAGCTACACGTGGTTAAGTATCTTTTGAATACAGATAAACCTTCAAATACAGTCAAACATTATCATTTTGACAAGTTGATAAATGGTTATTTGTATGACAAATGTGCTACTGTGTAGATAATTGTGAGGTTTCTGTAGGATAGCTTGATATATAGTAATCTTTACATTTCACACGTAATTTGATGCTTAATTATCACTTTAGTTAATGTAGGCAGATTAACGGTAAAGAGAACATGTACAGCATCCCGCTTTAATTTGTTTAAAATGATTATTAATAACGCAACCTGAACGATTCTCCACCACCCCTCTTTTGTATATAAATAGAAACAAGCCTTCGACTGTGTTGTACATAATTTATAACCTTGTACACATATGTATAACAAAACGAAAAATTTAATTATTTAACAAGGTAATTAAATAAAATAATATTTAATAAATGAGAAAAATGTTTTGTTTTCTTGTGAATAATTTATAATTTTGTTATATATTTATCTTGATTTATTAATAAATAAGTAAATAAATTAGCATTTTTCTTCGCCCTCTTTTTTTCCATTATTTATAGATTTTTAACGGTAATTAACGAATTTATTTAATATTTTTTTTTTCGATTAAAAATTGTAGAAAACGGTTCTTAATTAATGATGAGTAAAGATAATTAGATTATCTTCATCATCAATTTTTTTCGGGGTTCATATACTTAATTATTATAATTATTTATTTCGAATCATTAATTAATTTATGGTTCTAATGTTAATAAAATAATAAACCAAGAAAATTGAGTCAATAAAATCGATTATTTTGGCTCATAAATTCGATTGTACTCTATAATTTTTCGCAACTTTTCTATCTTCATCACTTTTTCGGGTTCATATGCTTTATTTAATTATTGTAATTATTTATTTCGGATCATTAATTTATTGTTTTAATATTATAATAGTAAAATAAGACAATTAAATGAATAAAATCTAATAACTTAGCACATACAACTCGATTATGCTCTATGAAAATAGCAATTTTTCTAACTTTATTGTCATTTCTTCATGTTTAATTCATTTAATAATTATAATTATTTTATTTCGAATTATTAAGTTCTAGTGTTATAATGTTAATAAAATGATAAACTAAGAAAATTGGGTGAATAAAATCCAATATTTTAGATATAATTCGATTATTACCTATGAAAATCGCGAATATTCATCGATTGGCATCACTTATCTATAAGTTTTCCAAGCAGAAAATTGCATGTTTATTTTCTATATTATAATATTTATAATCAACTTACCAAATACTGAAAATTAATTATATTATACCATTATAAGATAGGAAGACAATTAAGTATTAATTATTAGAAACTTAGGTAAATACATATATTACAGATTTGTATAACAGATGATCATTAATACATTATCTTTGACTTAATTACCGTTAAGTTTGTGCCACATACAGTCTCATAAACGTACATTTACACTTATCGATCATAAAGTATGCTTCGTTACACCGACAAGACACTACCCCTCCCCCTCTCCCTCTTTTACTGTCTCTTATGATTAACAAATTGCATTTTAAATGAAAAGGAAAATGCTCTGTACTTTAACACTAGATAAATGTTTTAAATAACAATAGAATATTTTAAGGATTTACTAAAATTTTCCTCGATACCCTTTACATTATTTATCTGCCTGTCCTATTTAAAGCTTTTAATGAAATTAATTATGCATCTTTCCTATTTACAATACTCTATTGTAAATAGCCAAGGTGTAGTTTAATGCTTATTTGTTTGATTAAACCAAACTCTACACGTGTTCATTCAAAATGCTCGTGTTTAAAGATTACTGATAATAAATATTTTCCTAATTAATTATAATTTAACAAGTAAATATAATCAAAATTTGCTTAATTTTTATTATTATTTTTATTATTTTTTTTGTTTACACACCACCCCTTTCTGTAGTAAATTTGATGTACAGCAGTTAAATGGCGGGTGTCTATCTGCACACTTAGTGTTATCTCGCTACCAGATGAGATATTTTCACCACGTAGCTCTTTTATTCAAACTGATGATTTACTTTTCATTACTTAGCACTTTCATTCTAGTTGATAGTGCACGTTTTTTTTATTCTTTTATTCCTTTTTTTTATTCTTTAAATTAGTGTTGTTATAAGTAAACCTAACTTATTCTAACTAATATTCTTATCTTTATTTTTATTTCAGTGTGATAAGATAAAATTAATTGATAAATGCTTTAACTAGGTGATTCGAAAGTTTAAAAGGTAAAAATCAATATTTGAATAAATGATGGGTTTATAGGTCAGGAGATTCAGGAGATTTTCTTTTTAATTTTTCCTTGCCATTTTCGTTAATTTTGTTTAGTTTTAATGTAAGAAATATATTTCATTTTCGTGTAATTTTATAATAAAAATGTAAGGTTATACATATTTTAGTTGAATTGCTTAGTTTGAATTGAATAGTTGAATTTGTATATAAAACGTTTACGACAGAGCGATGTGTAGTCATTGACTTTTATTTTCAAAATCACAGTTTTGTGTGTGATTTCTTCTAACCGAAGCTCTATGTGTGCTAACCAGAACTCTACTTATGCCCTTTTCTAATCCACTTATGCTCCCATCTAACCAGAGCTCCATGTACACTCTTCTAACCAAGGTTTATGTATGCTTCTATCCAACCAGAGCTCTTTCTGTGCTCCCTTCTAATCACAGCTCGCATATTCTCTTTTAATCAAAGCTCTACGTATGCTCCCACCTAACCAGAGCTCCATGTACAGTACACTCTTCTAACAAACGTTTATGTGTGCTTCTATCCAACCAGAGCTCTTTCTGTGCTCCCTTCTAATCAGAGCTCGTATATTCTCTTCTAATCAAAGCTCCACGTATGCTCCCATCTAACCAGAGTTCTAATATGCTCTCTCTTCTAACGCTTAAACACGCTCTTTCCCAATTTGATATCACCAGACTTATTTCTTCGTATGTCAAGAAGACCTTAACCATCAAGCAATTCAAAGACAACATTCAAGAAGAAATTCGAGCGCAGAAAAAGATTATTTACCGATAAAATTTCCAATGAACAGTCTTAAAAATTCGATTTTCTGCATTTTATTACACAAGAAACATAATTGACAAACAAAACAAAAAAAAATCTTTATTTTATTTTTATAAATGGTAACGCGACTTATGGACCACCCCTGTTTACATATTGTAAAAAGTGTACAAGTTTAGATCAAATAAAATTAAATATTTAAAGGCACAAGACGAATTTTTTTTTCTTTTTTTATAGATTTAATTTCTAAAATTAAAAGAGAAGGAAAAAAAATTATATCATTTATTGTTATTGTGATAATGAAAATTTAAATCAAAAGTTTTATAACAGAAAATTCTGAGGATATTTATTAAATCCAGAAGATTCAAAACGTAAAGTCGAGAGGAAGAAACTAGAAAAAAATAGTAAAATAAAATAAAAATAAAAAGAGTAGAAATCAATGTTGAAAAAGGAAAAGATATAATGAATTCTAGAAATAGATTCAAAAAATTTCNTTATATCATTCATTTTAATTACTAGTATAAAATATTTATTTTCTATAAGCATTTTTTTATTAATGATAAAATGTCCAGTGTTAAATAATTACATTAAAAAATGTTTTTTTTATTTTAAAGTTTTGAGAAATTGTAAATATATACATAAATATATATATATATATATATATATATATAATTATATTTTTCTTCTAGTCTTAGGATCATCCTTTCCTTTTCTTGAAATCTCTGAAGAGATTCGTGTTTCTTACATGAAACTTAAGCAAACTTTTAATTGTGTAGCGAACAATTTCTGATCTTTAAAGAAGATCTGGAAAAATAGTAAAATAATATTTTTTTAAAAAAAGAAGAAGAAAATAGTGAAGTAGGAACGATTTATTACAAGTTAATCTTCGATTCAACTGAAGCAAATCAGTGGTTATCATAGAGTGAAGGTCCCCAATGGTTTGTCTAAGAATGTTCTTAGTGGTCACTGGTTAATTAAGCAAAGAATTAGGAAAAAAAATACCGTAGTAAATACATGATATAAGTAATTAATTGGATATAGATTAATGCCATTTGGGACACGATATTAATCGCGTTTTGTAAATAAATGGCGTCAATGGAAAGCTTTGTTTCCTTTATTTTCATTTTCCTTAAAAATTATCTTAATTTACCATCTTAAAAGTATATAATTTTAATTAATAAATTAAATTAGATTAATCTTAATCAGTTTATAATTTATTTTTCAACTTTCTTGTATTAAAAAAATGCACGTTTATCTCGAAGGACGTGATGGAAAATGAAGAGGAAAACGAAGTTTTAAACTGGAAACTCGGTGGAAATAAGTTAAAATTTGATAAATTCAGATAGTTTTTTTTATTTATTTTCCGTTTTTATTTTAGTTTATAAAATATATATATATATATTTACACGTATAAACCGGGGCCAATTTCCTTAATGATGGCTTTCGACTGATGTTCAACGAGGGATTCGGATCCCTCCAAAAAAGAAATTCAGCATTTATGTCACCGGCAGCAAAAGTTATGCCAGTATATTTTATTTAAAAGTGTAATTAATATATTATTTACCGGTCATTTAACATGTTAGAGTGTTTGGGTGTGTATCCAGTCGAAGGAACCCTCTAACAGTGGACCACTAAGTTGGATATTTGCAGTTATGTGACAGCTACGCCCATGGATCGACACTTTAATTTACCTGAGAATGACGAAGAGAAAAACTACAGAATAAAATATTAATCTACTTGGTCACGCAAGAACAAGTTGACTCGTCCAACTAATATTATTTCTATGGCCCATGTACCTTTTCATTGCTGGACAAAATAGCTTAGTGTATGGCCAATCGGAATTAAGCTAGAGAAAAAGAAAATTACTTCCGTAATAATAAAAGAAATCCGATTTTCTTTTTAATTTTTCCTTGCCATTTTCGTTAATTTTGTTTAGTTTTAATGTAAGAAATATATTTCATTTTCGTGTAATTTTATAATAAAAATGTAAGGTTATACATATTTTAGTTGAATTGCTTAGTTTGAATTGAATAGTTGAATTTGTATATAAAACGTTTACGACAGAGCGATGTGTAGTCATTGACTTTTATTTTCAAAATCACAGTTTTGTGTGTGATTTCTTCTAACCGAAGCTCTATGTGTGCTAACCAGAACTCTACTTATGCCCTTTTCTAATCCACTTATGCTCCCATCTAACCAGAGCTCCATGTACACTCTTCTAACCAAGGTTTATGTATGCTTCTATCCAACCAGAGCTCTTTCTGTGCTCCCTTCTAATCACAGCTCGCATATTCTCTTTTAATCAAAGCTCTACGTATGCTCCCACCTAACCAGAGCTCCATGTACAGTACACTCTTCTAACAAACGTTTATGTGTGCTTCTATCCAACCAGAGCTCTTTCTGTGCTCCCTTCTAATCAGAGCTCGTATATTCTCTTCTAATCAAAGCTCCACGTATGCTCCCATCTAACCAGAGTTCTAATATGCTCTCTCTTCTAACGCTTAAACACGCTCTTTCCCAATTTGATATCACCAGACTTATTTCTTCGTATGTCAAGAAGACCTTAACCATCAAGCAATTCAAAGACAACATTCAAGAAGAAATTCGAGCGCAGAAAAAGATTATTTACCGATAAAATTTCCAATGAACAGTCTTAAAAATTCGATTTTCTGCATTTTATTACACAAGAAACATAATTGACAAACAAAACAAAAAAAAATCTTTATTTTATTTTTATAAATGGTAACGCGACTTATGGACCACCCCTGTTTACATATTGTAAAAAGTGTACAAGTTTAGATCAAATAAAATTAAATATTTAAAGGCACAAGACGAATTTTTTTTTCTTTTTTTATAGATTTAATTTCTAAAATTAAAAGAGAAGGAAAAAAAATTATATCATTTATTGTTATTGTGATAATGAAAATTTAAATCAAAAGTTTTATAACAGAAAATTCTGAGGATATTTATTAAATCCAGAAGATTCAAAACGTAAAGTCGAGAGGAAGAAACTAGAAAAAAATAGTAAAATAAAATAAAAATAAAAAGAGTAGAAATCAATGTTGAAAAAGGAAAAGATATAATGAATTCTAGAAATAGATTCAAAAAATTTCTTTGGGATTATTTAGAATTCTTAGGATTTCTATTTATTTTTCGTTTTATTTTTAGGTTTATTTGGATCTACGATTTATTTTCGGAGCACTGTTTATTTGGATTATTTTATTTATTTATTTATTTTATTTTATTTATATATTTAACTTCAATTTTAATTGTTTGAATTTCTTTCCTTCTAATGTTTGTTTATATGTCTTTAAGCACGAATTCTAATAAATATATTTATAAAATTATTTATTTTGTTTAAAAAGGAAACAAATTCCGAGATTGTTTCCTTAACAGATATTTATATATATATATNTAATAATTCAAAATCTTTTGTTAAATCCGGAATTTCTTCAAAGAAAATAGTTTTGCAGATGTATATATATATAGGTCTATATATTTTCTCACATTGTTTCCAAGTGGAATTACCTATTTCTTTTTAAAGATTAAACAAGGAAAACTCGTGATCATTGATCACGAGTTTTTCTTGTTTAATCTTTAAAAAAGAAGAGGGAAAAAATATATATATATATAAAGAAATACAAGGATCAGAAAATATCAGTGGATATATATAGAGAGAAAACTAGTTTGTTTCTGAAAATTCAATTTAATCCTAATATTTTTAAACAACATAAAGAAAAAAAAAATTGTATAAATATTTTGGAAAAGTTCCAAACTATTTTCTATTCGTTGCTTTCAAATTTATATCAAAAATTATACGTTTTAAATGAAATTATTTTGAGCCATTTTTCACTCTAAATGGACTTTAAGATCCTTCTTCTTCTTCTTCTTCTTTGATAATTTAAGAAAGTTTAGAAGTTTGCAATCTTAGATGCAAAAGCATAAATTACTCAACTATGCTTTTTTATGGTAGAAGACAGCTTGAAAATTACGAATTTTTTTTTTTGTTTTTTAGTATTTTTGAAAGAAAATAAGCGCGTGAGACATTCGAAATACGAATTTATATAGGAAAAAAATAGTTTTCTAGAATGGTTACGTCCAAAAACACAACTTAATTACATAAAATTAACGAAAAAAAAAGGGTCGAAACTCTTGGAGAAATGACGAAAACAGAGGAAGTAGGGGGAAAAAAAGTATATAATTGTTTTTCTAGAAGACACGACATAAGTTGTGTTAGGTCACAGAAAACAGCAACGACATGATTTATTTGCAAACGTAACAATGATTACTTGTAAGCTAGATTCAGAGGTCAGAACAGTAGAATGATTAATATTAAAGAGAAATCAAACATATGCAGATTTAATCATTATTCCACTCCTTCAGTTTCCTGTGATTCATACCATCCAAACTCCACATATTACGAAGAAAAGTTAAATACTTCCTGGATATGCAGATGTTCCTTTTGTTGAGTGAGGATAACATACACACCGAAAAAAAATATATATATACCCTTCTTTGATTTATAGATTTAGATATGGCCCATACAACTCTGGGTCTTTAGTAGAAGTTGCAATGCTTGATATGTAAAATAGTTTTAAATCCCATCCATGAATAAAATGGTTGTTGAGTGGCGCAAAACTGCACGAGGGGGTTTTACACACTACTGTGTATCGATGCATGAAGTGTGGCAGTGTTATACGTGTATCTCTCTCTCTTCTAGAAATAAAATATTCTACGTTGTCATTCTTTTCAGTTTATTCTAACGCGAAGTAATCTTTAAGATACAAAAGGATGTCCATTTGTTATACATAACATGCTTCTGTACTTGACAGTTTGAATGCATCTCTTAGGAAAAATAAAAAATAAAATAAAATAAAAATTCGATAGAAATAACTTCGAACGAATGGTAAAATCTTTCATTATAATTTATTCTTTACTAAATCATTTTATATTTTAATTTTTATCCTTTATCTATCCTTAAAACAAAATGGGTGCCTCATACATTAACTGCTTTGTTTTAAGTTTAATGAGTAGAAATTACGTTAAAAAAATGCTTAAATTAATAAATTTTTGTTGTTTTTTAAATGAAAAATTTAAAATTTTATAGATTAATAGCTCATCAGTGACGTAATTTTGCTCTGGAGTGATCTGGGGATGGTGTAGAAAGTATAGTACAGTACAGTACAATTAGAATAAAACTAAATTAATTATTGCATAATTTTCTTTTATTTATAAAAATTAAAATTATATAATTATTTAGTAAATAATAAACTATAATGAAAGATTTTTATCCTTTATATGTCCTTAAAACAAAAGGAGCTTCCTCATACGTAAGGCAACTTTCAATTTGTTTTTTTTTTTTTTTTTTTTT